GTGATACTATATTAATATCACATAATAAAATATTATATAATAAATTGATAGATATATTTATAAATAATTTAATTGGTAACTATTGTATTACCATCTAGTTAAAAAACACCTTTTTACAAAAATAATCTCTTTACAGGAGAATGGGATGAGTATTTTAAATATGTGAGATCCGATATGGATGATCTCAAAATATTTGTTTGATAATAAATATTATTAATATGAATATCATTATATTTATCGTCCTTATAAGAAATATCAACAAAAAATTTAAGAAAGCATGATTTTCTCGTTTTGTTAGGTTACATTTTAGACTCTGAGTTAAGATAATGATATATATAATTCATGAGCTAATCTACATAGTTTCAACCAAGCTCAATTTTTTTTAAAAAAGGCAAGAGCAAAATGGCAAATATATTTTAATCATTATATTGTTCTTGAATTCTGAAAAAGCAGTGACAAAATTTCCATAGAAGCAAGGGAAGCATTGCTTCTATTAAAATTCTTCTTAAAAAAAAATAATATAATCTTAATAATATGTAAATCATTATTATTAATTAAACGATAATAAGTTTAATAATTCTCTACATTTATTATTCCTAGGGTTTTATTCATACAAAGAATAAAATGATTTACAATTAAAACGATTGAAAGTTATACTATTTCTTAAATAAATTATAAAATAATAGAGCTTTTTTAAGTCACAGAGCGCCCCTTTTCAATTATGATAGAGAAAGAGAAGACACTCATTCCTTAGAAAAGGACGCATTCTGTATGAAAATGGTTAACTATTATTCAAGCAGAAACGGATTTTTTTCTTGAAAATAAGGAAAAAACACATAAAATAGATAAGTAGTAATTTGAAGGATCGTATTGATATATACAGGTTTTGGCACGTTACTCCCGTTAGTTACTTAAAGAAAAGGTATAACGGTTAAGTTAGTTTTTTTTACTTCAGACAAATTTATTAGAAAAGCTGTTCGTTGCATTTAAAAAAAATCTGATCATTCATTTTGCTGCAAGTCATTATAATAATTAAGGCGGTATAAACTATAAACACACACTAGTTTAAAAATATCGATTTATTTAAATAAAGTATATATTTATTAAGTATATTATTATATTTAAGCATATCAGACTTAAATATTTAAATGTCCTCCATGGTCTATGTCAATAGTAATAATGAAATAATATCCCTATAAATATATTAATGGGTAAAAAGAAGCGGTGTCTTAAGCGGCAAGGGGAGGGGGTACGAGCAGTTTAATATCAATTTTTTAAGGAGAGTAGGCATCTAGGGTTTAAGGGTCGGCATCTATGTTAGGGGGTAGACTAAATAATGGGAGGGGGAGTGGGGTTACGAATTTAATTTTTAGATGAAATAAGGCTAAATATATTGCTGTAAATTTATTCAATACTTATAGTTCCTATTTAATATACATAGATACATTGCTAAATAATGACCAACTTAAAATTATCTAAGGAAATTATATAAAAAAGCTAGTTTTCTAATAAATAAATCAGATTTAGGCAGTTCATTTCTAGTAAATTATAAGTTTCTGTTTGGCATTTAGTAAAGAAGTCAAAATACTGGAATGCAAGATTTGGCAAGATTTATATGTAAAAACAATTATTTATTATTTTTGCAAGGTAAGTTTTTTGTTCTTTTACAATATCGATGACGACCGCAACTAAATAATAAATTATATCAAAAGCGAATCAAAAATCATAAGCGTAGTTTAATTTCTCACATGAGATTAAGTAATAGCTATCATTAAAAAAATGAAAGATAGGCCATGCAAAAATTTTGAACATGGATTCTACTAATTTATACTCAATTATGTAAATCTATTTTGCATTCAAATATTTTGATTATTTTACAAAATGCTAAATAGATGAATTTATTTGGAAATGAATTGCCGTAAAAACTCTTAATTTCACAGATAATAATCAATATCCTAACACTTATAAATTTTGAAGAAAATATACTTTAAAATTATCAATTAATATCTTAATAATATCTCCTCTATTAATTGTGCAATAATTATATACACATATATTATAATTTCATATTTTATTCAATAAAGTATATTTTTTACCCAAAAGGTGCCTCACGTCGAGAAAATTTGTTATACCCCTGTATAAGTTATAACAATTTTATAAAACATATTAATAACATAAAAAAATATTGCAAAAAATAAATAACAGAATTCTAATAAAAGACATAATATTTCAATAAAGAAACATATCAACTCAATAAAAGTTGGAAATCAAATTTAATTTTGTTTCTTTAGTCCATAATCAATAAATTTAAAATAATGATCATATAAATTCTCTAACGTGGTTAAGAAAGAAAGAAGGCGCGGTTAATTATTTTTAACCTATTTTTTTTTACTTTTAAATTTAATTAAGTTTATTTTTATTAAATTTATTTTTTAAAGCTTTTTAAAAATTATAATGATAAATTTTATTTATTTCAAATAATCGCAAAATTTAAAAAAGGAATATAATTTTATTAAAAATTTTTAACGCTTATATAATAGAAATAAATTTAACATTAAATATAAATAAAACTTAAAAAATAATTAAAAATGAAAAATATCAATGAGTTTCATCTTAGATTTTTTTCCAACTAATTATTTTTTGGCATCGGTATCGGGTGTTAATTCGTGTTAGTATAGATGATATCGATTTTGATATCGGTTATCGGTAACTATGTTTGTATCGGTATTTTTTCTTGCCATTTTCATTTCTTTATTCCTTAGTTTACATATTGATATACACATAGGCGTACTCGCATATTCCTTGGGTGAATTTCCTCTCGTTTTCACCAATAAATAATGTAATAATTATATGAGATATAATATCCTAAGCTAATTCAAAAACAAATACGAATTAAATACTAAATTATTCGTAATCGATTCATTAAAATGAAAGCATATTTCAATATATACGTAATATTGTGAAATTATCATAAGAAATATATAAACTACAGATAATGTATTAAAATATTAAAATGAAAACAAATTACAAAAATTTGATTTATTGTACAACAATATTAATTAAGGTTTTATATTGTTAAAAATCCCGATTCCGATTAAGATTTTAGCCAAAATTTATGTAAGCCTCGAGATTTAGCGCATATATGTCCAAACCTTTCTACCCTTTATAAGCAAAATCTCCAGACTTATTATTTTTATTATTATAATTTTTAATCGGGCCTTTTTTCAAATCGAACAGAATTGGGCTTTTTAACAACGCTACGCTACTTTATACTAAACTCTTTAATTTATATGGCATACTATACTGTTAACACAGCACACTATTTTTCCAGCAATAAACAAGGCTTTTTTTTAAACATTAATAATAGAACGTTTCTTTTTGATTTAGACATTTTAAATATAACTTTTTTTATTTTTAGCTAATTAAATTATCATATTTATTTTATTTTTTTTCAAGCTAAACCCTGATCGTTTTTTATTCTTAGTTTTCATTAGCTATAAAAAATAAAATGTTGAAAAAGATAACTTTTAAAGATTTTGTAAAATTTATAATATATTTAACTTGGACGAATGTTTATAATTACTATGTGCAAGCAGCTGGGAACCCTAAATATATTTATTCGCTAGAATCGAGTAAAGGACATTTTTCTCAAATCTCGCCAACGTCGAAAATTAAGAACTTTCATCGTTTTTATTCCCATTCGCTAAGCAATGATTCCAATGTTGTAGAGGAGTACTTTGATAGAAAAAGAAATGTATCCATAAACGAATCGCTTGAGTCTAGTACTAAAAAAATATCAAAACTACTTTCCTCGCCTATAGCAGCCAGCAATGCTTTAAATGAGGCTAAGCGTTATTTAATGGATAATTTTATCGAATACCCTGATCAGCCAACTGCAAATATCGACGAAACTTCAAAATTGGACTTGCAAAATTTAACATCGAATGAAATCGAGTATCCGATCGAAGGTTTGCCCTTCGTTAAAAGGGTTAACCCCTTAAATAAAGAAAATTTCGTTCTTGATTTAACGACCAATTATTTTTTAGATTTAAACATAGATCCTAGAGACAAGAAAGTAACAGATTTAGAAGATAATTTTCCCAATTATCAAGAGCCCGTGACTTTAACAACATGGGATGAAGAAAGTTCATCTTTTCATCAATCATTGAAAAAATTGGATGAGGATGATATTCCTGTTGATGATAAAATTTCTTCCCCTAAACATTTTATTAAACATCGCCAAGGATTTAATTCCAAAAAATCTCCAAAAAAGATTATTCAATCGGAGGGGAATGATAATGTAGTCAATAATTCAATAATCTTTCATTCAAATAATGTTCAGACTAATGAATCATTAGTGGACATTGAGAAGGAAAGCTTTAATTTTGTATCCTCACCTAGAACCGAGAGTAAGCGAAACCATACCTCTCATAAAACGCCTGTAAATAGCAGCCAAGTTTCAATGTTGTCAGAGAAACAAATTGGTGGTTGCAAATCGATATGTGTCAAAAACGCGCATTGTCAGAAAAATGCTTTGAATTTAGAAACATGTAAATGTAATTATGGTTATGAGGGTGATGGAGTGAATGAATGTCGAGGTTATTTGGTAATTTTTATTGTTTACCAGACATTTTGAACTATTCTGCATTTTTCTTATCGCGAGTAAGAAAAATTCGAAAAAATAAACATGCTGTAAATAAGCAGCTGATTTTCAGTGCAAGGCCTCCATTTACAGTAAACGCGAAATATTGCGATATCACTCATAAAGATAGATAAGTCAGCGTTAAACATTAGCATAGCTCTATAATTTACATGATGTGCATTGTAAATTACGCATCGCTTGAAAGACCATAGCGGTATTTCGCACTTACTATAAACGAGGCCGGACATATATTAGCATTTTAATTTGTGAGTACATTTATTTTTTATAATTTTCGGCATAATTATACAATGTGCCTCTTTAGAACTTTTCTTTCACAAAGATCGCCAGAGGCAAAAGAAACAAAAAATGGAGGCACGAGTTATGAAAAATAAAAAAGGTATAATTACCATATGATATATATATTGATGGGTCTAGTTTTGAATTTCTATTTTTCCTTCAATAAATTTTTCAAGCATCTCGAATCTCGTTGGGTTATAACACTTCTATCTAGTTTTCCAACACATTACAATTAATGTATAAAAAAATATTGAGGCTGTGTCATGGTTCGACTTATTTTTTATACTTATTACTGTTTAGCTCTAATCAGCATTTGAACTAGGGCACCCTATTTTAGGTTTTAAGTGTTTGGTAACATTGTTTTTTTATATTTTTTTTAGTATTTTTGTTATGCTTTATTTTTCGTATTTTTGTTTAATTTTTAAAATGTTTTTTTCGTTTTTTCTTTATTATTGTTGTTTTTCTTTCTTTTACATTTAGTCGAAGTCATGTAGCCGGCTAAAAAGTCGGCTCTTTAAAAATAAATCAAACCAGGACACAGCCCTATAATTTTTCCAAGCTAGTGTTTTTTTAGTGTGATTTTCATGCACAAAGATAATATACAAAGATACAAATAATTATTTTTTTTTACGACCTCCTATTTCATATTCTCTAAAAAGAAGCGTTTACATAATTTATGAAATTATGTGAAAAATAAATTATAATTTTATATAGTATGTATACCAAAAGTGATAGATTTAATAAGAAAATATATTAAGGTAGAAAAAAACCAGATCCCCCTTCCCCATAAAAAATATAAATATATCAATAATAATGTACAATTTAATCTCAGAATCAATGAAATAGAAGAATTTTAAATATCAGGCTAACCCTGCAATCACAGTTACCGCTAATTCGTGGCCAAATATATAAAATAGGCGAGAATTTACGGCGAAGTATACAAAATATACTGTATTTTTGTATATTTTGTTGCGATAACTGTGAATGCAGGGTAGGATAGCTTTTTAACCATTATTAATGGGTGGTTATGTCTTACTATTTTTATGAAATTCCAAAAAGTATTCACACATGCTCGCCCCTTTATATTTTATTTTCAACTCATGTCCATCTAGATTATCATTTTAAACCAATCATCATATTAATAAAAGGATGCCTGGGCTTGTCATATGAGGTTTCTAATCAAATTTCATAAATTCCGATATGATACATTTTCAGGCATATGATGATTTTGACTAAAATAGCGTTGAGTAGCCCTTGGTCTCCCTATATTATATAAAATTTATTAATTTAAATTACAATTTATATATTTATTTCAATTTAACTAATAAAATAAATCGAAAGCTTTTAAAAAAATAAATTTCCCACGATCAATTTAAAATGTATTTATGGGATCAATTTTACTTTGTTAATATTATTTTTTACTATAATTCCATTCATGATAATAATCTAAGTATTGTTTATTTTAATAAAGTAAAGACAGTTTTTAAAAATCTATCAGCTGTTAAATCGTGCCGGATCGGATCCCATTATTAATGCCACCTTATGCTTTCTAAAACTTTACGATTTTATCACAATTTGGGTTTAAATCTAATTTAATTAATAAAAAAAACAACAGTTAAAAATGGCCACATAGGAATGCCGCTATGACAAAATATCTAATTTTTTTAAACAACTGTGCGAGAGGTATACGATACCAATATATTTAATTGATAAATAAAAACCTAATAGAGTATTTTAATTAAAAACGATGGTAGTAAATATTTAAGCCAATATTGCATTTTTCATTTTTAAACCGGAAATGTGTCCATAAGACTGAAATTATAGTGGATTACTTAGGCATGGCCAGGATTTTGCTAAGGGAAGGGGGGAAGAGGGGGGAAAAGCTATTAGGTGAGTTTTTCTCCCATAAATTTTGATATTTATGAGAGAGAACTGGTAAATTTTTGTAGACGATTTAACATCGGATCGGTTTTTAAAATCTTCTAATGAAATCAATTTTTAATTATAAATAATTGACATTAAATAAATTAAATAATAAAATAAAAATAGTTCTCATTAAAAGATTTTAAAAACCTATCAGCTGTTAAATCATGTTAGGATTCTCCTTGATTTAAATCGAAACCTCATTGATCCGGCATATCTAATAAAAACTTTTGACAAAATAAAAAAAATTAATTAAACTAGTTTTTAAATATTTTTCTAAAAATTATAATTATAACTCAATAACTCAAAGATGGCCATTTATGCGCTATTCAGGATATATGCAGGACTGGAGAACATTGTTTAGAAGTTGATGCCGCCAAATACCTTTGTATTTGTGATCCGTTTGGCAACGCGACTAAAGGTTGTGTCAATAAAGAAAGTCTCAACGCTTCCACGGTGGCGCAAGCTAAAAAATATAGGAAAGTTTAAAATAATTTATATCAAAAATCTTATTATTTTTCAAATAATATTTTTGCAGATAAAAATTTAATATCCTTGGGGAGGGAAGGGCCCATTCAGCTCCTTTAAGGGATATAGCTAGTTCCTATCATTGCGTGAGAAAATGTTATATATTTCTTTCTTAGTCATGTTTTGCCCCTCGCTAAAACAACATTTTTAATAGATGGGAAAAATGGATTAAATTATTAATCAAATCATATAAATTCTGAAAAGCATATATTATCTGATTTTGCTAAAAAAAATTTATGTATCAGGAAATGAAAGAAAAAGAGATTTATGCTAAAGAGATGGAATTTTTAGCTCCCAATTTTATCTCTGCAAAGGACGAATCCAATGAGGACGAAAAAGAAGGTTATAATAAGATTTTTTTTAAAATAGAAATTGGAGGAGAAGGAAGTTAAATTTTTGCGAGAATTTTTATTATGTTAAATTTAGGATAATCCAATTTATTAAGAGTTAAAATTTTTTAAGATATGATAATAATTTGCCCTGAATTAAGCTAAAAGTTTAAGCAATTTATATATCTTTGTTCAGTTATATACATTATATATTATAATGAATCTTATTATTTGTTCTCTATACGTTACGTTAGTGAGGCCATGCAATTATTGATAGCCACTTTAAAAAGTTAACGCATTTCTGTTATTTCAATTTAAAAGTATGATGACGTTACTTGCTTCGACATTGATTTACAGCACTATTTCTAATAAAAAGACTTTTTTAAAAAAAATTTAAGTCACAGTAACATTTGTTAAACATGTGTTTTCCAGCTATCAATGAATTCACTATTTTAAGTTAAAAAGATTTTAAAGATTATTTAATCATATCTAAGGTATGGCAATTCATAAATATTACCATCATCCCTCATTTATTTGAGTTTTTGTCTTTATTTGTCAATACATTATAAAAATCAAGTTTTATAATATAATATAACTTGCAAACAAAACATAATTAGATTTCAAGGTGAAAATAGCATCAGGAGAAGTTTCAAGCTTAACTGGGTTTGAAAATTGCAGAAAATGTTCCCTACGAGGTTCCGAGTGCTTAGTGATAGGGGATTTGATTAATTCAACTTTGTGTTTATGCTTGCCTGGGTATAACGGAGAATTTTGTCAGAATAAAGGTAAAATTAAAAAAAATTCCCAAACAAATTTATTTCTCTGATAGTTCATGTTTAGTAGAGATCTGCAAAGTTATGCCCGGCCCGTACCCGGCCCGAGTTCGGCCCGGCCCGAACGGGCTTCGTGCCGGGCTCGGGCCTAATTATATTTAAAATAATCGGGTTCGGGCCGGGCCTAATATTTTTAAAAAAATTTCGGGCCAGGTCGGGTCGGACCTTGGAAATTTTATTAAATATATCTATTTTTAAAACAGTCACTAATTTATCCCGATAAGAAAGAAAAATATAAGAGTTGTGCAAAAGTTACACGTGGTAATAAAATTTTTATATCTTGGCATGATAAGAGTTTACAAATTACATCTTTTCGCCAGACTGGGTCAAAAAAAATGGGTACCATCCCGCTTGTCTTTTCCTTAAGGATATGTAATAGGTTATTACCATTTCAAAGACGCTAAATCACCACTATGTATTTATTTAACGTTTTTAAAATTAAATCTAAATTTTGAATATAGTGTCTTCCCTCAAGATAATATGGCAAAACAGGGGTAGCTTGTATTTCTATATAGGTATCATGGCATCTTTAACGTTGGCAATTCTCATCGTTATCATGATAATGTTTTGTTGGCGCAAAAGAAAAAGGTATTTTTATTAAAATATATCAATGATAAATAAGTAGTGAGAGTATATCATTATTAGATTGATAGTTGTTACATATAGATTTTATCAATACCTATCAATAATATCACATTTAAATTTAGTTCCTTTTTTTTATTTACCCTTTATAAATTAGTCTATCTAGATGATTTTTCTTTCTATGCGGCTAACCATATTGTTATTAATTTGAACTGTAAACTATCATTCTATTTAATTGCCTTTTCTTATATTATTATTTCCTAACTAACATCAGATATCCACTCTTATATTCATCTTCATCCAAATGTTAGTTTAGGCTATTTTATTTTACATCGTCATTAATTATTCCCATGCATAATAAGAATAATCAGTAAATTCATAATCGAGGTTTCGATAAATATATTTTAGTTTAATACTAAGGGAAGATTCAATGCTTAATATACTAAAGATATAAAAGCTAATGAAGGACAATACTTAAAATGATTATTTATGGTAATTCTTTTTTAAAATGTCCAGCTTAGATAACAACCGATAAAATAAGGTAATGTTTACTCATCATACTAAATTTTAATAAATTGTGCTGAAATTCTTTCATACTTAATTTCGGAATATTTATATTTAATTTTTAATGATATAATTATATATATTGCCATGGCAAATATTTTGGTAAGTGTTGCTAAAGATTATAACTTTTTGAAATCCTCAAACCTCTATGATATGTGAAAAAAAAAGAAGTTTCCTCAAATATTTGATCATCAAAAAGGATGATCAATTTATTTTGAGAAAAGGGCTCAAGATTCAAGCTTTCGACACACCAAAAACATCCTATCATTAGAATTGGTAAAAGAAATGAAAAGCGTTAACGATTCACACAAATCATATAAAAATATTTAAAATAATCCATTACTAAAAATATTCCATGAAAAATAATCGTATGTTGTTACAAATGTATTAATATCGGATAGGGTAGACGATAGATCCCGAAGCATTCTTAGGAATGTCATGTCTTGTTAATGGAGTATAGTAAGGAAGTTTCACTTTTTCTACATGGTGTTATATATAAATGTTGATGAGTCATACATAGGGATAGGGAAGAGGTTTCTGAATAGATACTACTGTCATAGTAGCAGCTATATAATTTTTTTTTTCAGTGCTTAAGAACAAACACCTTTTCACAATTTTTCATTTATCAATGACACCATTTTGATAAATACTTTTTGATTGGTAAAATCATTTGTAATATCCAATTGTCCATCAATCTGACTAAACTTTCATTTTGTTTCTTAAAGCACAAACAATATCAATTCTTTATTATTTTTTAAATTGATGAGTTTTTTTTATCAATATGTGTTACTCTTACCATTGATGTTAATTGAGTTCAATTAGTCTTGCAAGAGATCCATAGTCAAAATAATGTATCAAAATTTTTTCAACAATACAAAGCATGTCAACATCTAGTCCAGATGGTCTCCACTCAAATTTGTTTCATTAATCAGCTGGTCCTATAGGAAGTTAAGCTAAAATTACCACCGGCTGATTGATATGAATAACATTTTAAAATAATTATATAAACTACATTTACAGTTGCTTATTATAATATGATATCTTTCTCTAAAATGGGTAATAAAATTGGGGAGGGGGGGGTTTGGATGGTGCGCTAGTTTTACTAGAGGACTTAAGGCACAATTTTGCTGGCCAAAAGATATATTAAATATTATATTGTCATTATTCATATCAAAAATTTTAAAATGAGGGGGTGGGGCGGTTATCTAATTTTATTCACTTCAATGCTTTGCAAATCTTTAATTCACCCCCCCCCCCCTTAGCTACGCCAATCTATCTTTTTGAATATTCCCCAATTCATACATAATATTTTATTATAACCAAAAAATATCACTCATGTTAGGGATAATTCTGGTAGACATCGAAACCACAAATCCTATCCAAAATCAAAATGCCATTCTGCAATTTCCTCTTTTCTTGCTCTGAACAATATCAAGCCCAAGAAGAAATCTCGCGGGAGTTACAAAAAACGTAATTATTATCAATAATATAGGATAAAATAATTGAATTTTCTTCCTTTATTTAATTATTTTGGAAAGAGTTGTCAGGTCAAAATATTTCAAATTGGTGGAGAAATTTGATCAAAATTTATTTTTGAGGGAAAAAATTGAAATTTGTGAAAAAAAATTTTGCCGACCGGGCCAATGAAAATGCCATTTTGGCCTCCCTATTTATTCATATCGTACTTAACAAAGTCATTATCACTTTATAATATTTTTCTAAATAGGTAATATTTTCTTTTTTAAGTTTTATATTTTACTTTTTCATGGTGGAATTTCATTTATTACATAAAAGCAAATGTACTTTGATCCGATAAACAAGACAAAATTTCATAAAATAACATCTTTATTTATAAAAGGATATTTAATTTAATACAATAACAAGCTATCTTTATTTACTAACTATTTCTCAAGATTTATTATTTATAAATTAAAAAAGTTGAAATGCTGCAAATTTTTAATGAGGAAAAAATTTTTAAATTACGGGAGATTTATACGGGTGATTTTCAATTGCGGGAGGTTTACGGGAACTCTGCGTGTTGGTTAAAAAATAACGGGAATCTCCAGCTGATCGTGGGAGACCCGGCAACCATGATTCCAGGATTTGGTAGAAAATATAAATAAACTCAACCCCATGATGCGATATTTTTCTTGCTTAAAGAATAAATAATGATTATAATATCCGAAGTCGTTAAACATATACTTAGAATATATCACTGATATATACACATTTCAGACATAGTATAATATAATATAAACATATATTTAAAATGTATCTCTGACATTGATATAAATACAATTTTTATATAATATACATTTCCGATATAGTATAATGTAAATTAAAAACTTATATTATATATGTCGTATCCTAATATGGTACTTTAGTGATTCAGAATCCCTACATTTATTCGGAACCTGTTAAAATTATGTATTTTGAATATTTATGAACGCAGCATATATACTTGCCCTTTTCATCACCGAGATTTGTCTTCCATATATTACAGTTGGTTTTAAAACTAGGATGCATACATGCTAAAGCATCATTGTTCGTTGCCATAAAATCGTAAAGGATAGCGTATTATGATATTTTAATATCTCTGAATATAATTACATGATTAAAACCATAATTTATTATTTTATCAAATAAACTAAATTGTATCCTATTCTTACCTCCCATTTTTTTAAAAAAAATTTACCTGCCGTTTTATATAAGTTATATAAATACTCCTATTAATTAGAGTTGGGTAATCGTATTTTAAGCTGGTAAAAAAAAATGCAAAATTCAGTTTTTAGACGAAAACTAATATTCCAACAAAGGATAAATATATTATTCCACACCTAAATGCTTGGGAGACATTCCTTCCTCATCACAAGTTTGTAGATTAATCTTAATTAGTATATTATCATCCATTACCCACATATAATCATCAATATATTATATTCCCCAATTATGAACTTTCCCTTGTTTTTTTCTTCTAAATATTTTTTAGCTAATAGATAACCAATTTAAGATCAATTTTTTTTCTAATATAGTTAAAAGCAACAAAAATGAAGAGCACTCTTTCCTCAATAAAAGAACTTCCGCCGATTCCGCTTTTACCTTAAATTCTTTTTCAACCCTCAGCGATATAGGTGAGAATAATTGGGACGAAAACCCTAATTTTTACAATAAGCCGCTCCGTAAAAAAACTTACAGGGGAATTCACAAGGAACGCTACGTTACCGAACCCTTTAAGGAAGATGAATTATCCTTACAATCTTATTCAGAAGATATAGTGGAATACAAGGCTCAACCACCATCAAGAACTTTCAAAGGTTTGAAATTGAACAAAAATTTAGAAAATGGTAATAAAACGCGTAGTAGTAGAGCCAGCAACGGTAGCAGAAATCGCTCCAAGACGAGTTTGATACCTAATGAAAATAATAATAATAATGGTAACACACATGAGTATATCCCCGTAATTAAGCTCTCCAACGAGAGCATAAAACTCGCCTATCCCGAAAATATAAATAATTCGGGACTAAACGGCACCATAGCTAATAGTGTGAACGTAGATTCCAAGAATGCTATCCCAACCGAACGGCCATCTAATAACAAATTACTATATCATCCTATACTGACCGACGCCATATTCCCTCAACCTATAAATCAAAACAAGATTTACAATAACAATTATTCCGCCATAACTCTAAACGAAAACAATAGTTTGATAAATACCGAATATAATAAAAGTTATAATACGTTGCCTATGAACGGTAACGATTCTTTCGGAAAGACCTCTATAGTGTTTAACAGGAAAGGTGAACCTCTTACGCCGCCTTACCCGTTTATTAAACATCAATAGTTTATGTTTGTTTTTCTTAATATCGATAGAAAAAACGCACGTTTTTCACAACACATCATTGTTTAAGAGGAATATTCATTTTAAAAGGGAAATGTTATATTTGCGTGTGATTTTATTTATGAATAAAATCAAAAATATAAATTTTAAATTCCAGGGATAGATTTAATTAATTTATTCAATATTGTATTTGCAGATTTTTTTTATAATCTAACTATGTCCGTGGATTTTATTAACGAGTATTTGACCTGTAGGATTAATTAGAATTGACAGAAATTGAGGAAAAGGGTTTTAATTTCAAATATATATATTTTTTTCGGCTTAAGCATATGAATTTAATACCATTTTTAGAAGTATAATTGAAAGTATTAGTTGATGAAAATACATCTTTACAAATTAATTTAATTTAATATAGTAAACTTAATTTTTTTTCCTTCTTGTATTATAATATAAACACATCAGATGAGTTAATAAAATAAATAAATTTATTGTTTAGTTTATAAGAAGGTAATAAATATTTTGACAGGGTCTCAGGATAGCTAGAGGATGTTGAAAAGATTCTTAGAGTTCTGGTATAGAGTAGGACCTGCGTGCCCTTTACGAGTTGTAAAAGGCAACTAAGAGAGCTGATGTCAGGAAGAGGATCCGACTAAAAAATATTGCTACGTTAGCCAGATAATTTGATAAAGTTAGCTAGGGTGTTCTCCCAATCAATTGTAGATTGTCATATAAATTTTATTTATTTTGATAAGTAATGGATCGTTAAAGTATTACGGTAATTAGAATAATCTATTTGATCTTGAAAGTTGTATCCAGGGCCATGCTAAAACTTTTAGAAACCCAGGGTGAAAATGAATTTGGTCGCCTAAATCTCTCAATTTACCTAAGTTTTTTAAAAAAAACTCATAAAATAACTCACTAGGTTAGTATATTTTAAGATAATATTCTTGAATAAGCAGCTTAGAATATTAACTAGGTATGACTTTACAATTATAATGATTTATAGAAAGAAATTAGAAAACTTTATAGATTTTAGAATCATATCAGGTGAAGTTATTACTGGGGATTTGTGATGTTTAAGAAAAAGAGACATGAATCTTCTAAAATTAAATCTAAAACTAATTGAGAAAAATGGAAAATGTAAGACAGAGGCATATGCCCATTGAGTTAGGAACATAGTTGGTTCGGTACCAATACCACTCAATAAACATTTTCATCAAAAAGCCTTGTATTTTTATTTTGAAAAATTTATTAAATTAAATAAGATTGTTTATATATTATATCTTAACTCTATTTTTTACTTTGCCTGCCTACATATTAATACCAGAATCTTTGGATTTTAAAAATAAGCTATAAAATTAAAACCTATAAAAAAAATGTAGATTATTGAGACATATATAATTATGTTTCCTTTTTGCCAAATCCGCTTAAAAATAAAACGGTGATAGGAAAAAGGAATGTAATAGTCGCCACGATAAAATGTCAGGTGCCAATGAGAAGTAACATAGAAATTAAAGTGTAGTAAGTGTAGGAATTGTAGTAAAATGGTCAAGGTAAACTACAACTTGCGGATGGCAAAAATAATATATCATCATCACATATCCGCCAAGCAGCAATAAATGCGACTCGATAATTAAAATGGAGAACACAAAAAATCATTTTATAGATATTCTTAAAGAAGATACGATATTTATTAACGGAAGATGTTTTATGACTTAAAAGATACATGCCAATTTAAAGGCATAGAGTTCTGGATAGCTAATATTCAGGGGCTAATCGTGACGCCAAAATTTTACGAACATAACTTTAGACACATCTTATTTTACAGGTCAAAATCAATATGAGGCTTCGGTAAAAAATAAAATTAGGTTTTATTTAAAATGCCTTGGATTAATTATTAAATTACATTATAATAATGGATTAAAATTTTTCAAAATATCTATATATTTTCTATTTAATAAAAATAACAACATATTTTTATGGCCGTTTATCTTGAAATTGATCTTTGATATGTTGTGGACATTCCGCGCAACGATTCAAATTTGGGTTGGAGATACAACGGTCGATGCAAAATCTTTCTAATCCTTTTTTAAAAAAAAAAAATTCTATAAAATTAAAAGTAAAAATTTGAATTTAATCCTGCCTTCTTGCTTCTCCTATCAAAATATACTCTATGGAACTAAATATCATCTTCCCAAATCGAACTTTATAATATATATATAAAATATGAATGTAATATAACAACGCCATTGAGCCTCAATGTTATAATTCAAATCAAATTTTAAAAAAAAAAACTTACCAAAATCTACGATATATTTTGTTTGTGCTATCAAATCGGCATAGAAGAGGCCTTCTACCCTCTTTAATTCTTCCACTATACGTTTTATTTTTTTAAAAAAATTAATAACTCATTATAATTGTTTTCTTGATTAATAATAATGATTAGATATAATGTTAGTTTTATCAGAAGTTATGCAATGTACCCATCATTGTGGGATACAATTTTAAGAGATCATCCATTTTTTTTAAAATCTGTTTATGAGATCAATTATTAATATTAGTTTTATCTTTAATTCTATTCATGATCACTAAATAATCTAAAATGATTTTAACAAATAAAAATTAATCACACAAATAGATTTTAGCTGTTAATCATGTTGGATCGGATGCAACTATGAATTCAGCCTTATTCGACCGATCCGATCCGCTAATTTTATTTCAAAGATCCGAGTCCTATCTGATCCGAAATAAATTTTAACCAGAAAAATATTGCCTAAACCTCGAGATTATGCTAAAGATGTCCAAACCTTTATGCCATCTATGACCAAGGGCTTGCGTAATATTTTCTGGCCAAAACATTGAGTTAGCATTTTTAAAATCGACTCAAATCGAGCCGTTTAACAACACTGCTGAAATATAGACCCAAATATGTTCCGAGTCGAAAAAATTTGTTCGAGTCCTTTTTACCCGACGTCTGATTTTAGTTTGATCAGATTTGGATTCCGACAAGAGGCTGTCTTTGCGGGTGGTATAATAGTTGTTATTATATCAGAATTTTGAATTGTTAAAAAAAATTTATTTGCAACAATTAAAAACTTAATTATAAAAACTTACCTAATCATATAGTTTAATTATTACTTGTATTATGACTTATTCAAAAATGTTTCGAATTATTCGAATATAATATATAAAAAAAATTTCAGCGAAATCTTATTATATAATTTTTTTTACTAAGAATATATGAGAGAGTATATGAGCAAGCATATTGGTTTATTTTCTTAGTTTCCTTACATATTTTAGAATTTTTTATAATGTTTTCCACTTCTTTTGGATTTTAGTAAAATTTTATCCAAAAAATAAATATATCAAATCCTAATGAAATCCTATAAAGGTATAAATATAATTAAAAATCATTTTTAAATAAATTTATTTTGTGATGCAGTGTATCACATATAAAATCTATAATGACTCTAATAAATTAATTGGTGTTGATCAAAGTCCTTCAAAAAAGGAGGGTCCATTTTTAAACAAAATAAAAATAGAGCAACCGATAATGGTGCTTGAATCATTGCAATTATTATAAAATGTAAAGGAAGAACAATATGTCCTCTTATCAACCATAATAGGTATAATTTTACGCCTAATTGCAAAAGAGTTGCCATAAATTTGGTATTTTTAAAAAAAATCGAAATCCATCTATGAAAACTCATTTTAAATAAAAACTTGTTAAAGTTATAACGCTTTATAAATAAATGTGTAACACTTGATTCATATTCTTTAAACAGGCCTATATAACCTTATATAGGTTTATAAAAATGATCTTCATTTTTTTTAAACTTGCCTATGACCAACATAAACTATAAGGTTAAAATTTTTTATTAACGTTGACATTAAAACAGCTCTTTCTGGGGAATATAAAAATTGATGCAAAACTGGAATAACTAATCTATATTCTATACATAACCATATTTTCCTGTTTCAGGATATTATTACAACGTTATTGCTGTTCAAACTGATAATTGAGATAGATAAAAATTAAATCACGAAATTAGACCATAATTAAAGTCAAGTTATAGGAGTCTTGTTAAATGTCACAATTCCTTTACCCTCCCATTTCTCTTCGACCAAAATTTTTTTCCTCTTTTAAAACATCCCTTCACAATTCTATTTCTCTTTAATTCTTGTATTTCGTTTTAACAAATCTAATTTTTATTTTCTCTCATGATCACTTTAAATTTAAATGTAAATGTTATTGATTTTTTTAAAAGTTATGATTAAACTAATTTGAAGTCCTTCCCTAAATGTAATTAAATTAAATAAACCACCAAACTTAATTATTACCTTGGGAATTAACCGTAATTGACAGAATAGCGGCCACCAATACACTCACTACCAATAGATAACGATGGTTATAATGGGATTTCATTTTAATTTTTTTTTGAATGAAAAATTAGTGTTTTTGATGAAAGGCGACTTTTACTTATTCCTTTATTTATAGTATAGTTTACATTTTATTTAAATGTCCTCGCAAATTTTTGATAAATGATTTATTATATATCCTTTTTTAATTCAATGATGCCAAAATATAGTTTTACTTATATTTTAACTTTTGAAAAAGTGTCAAGGTAAAGTCCAACAAGTCAAAAAAAATGGTATAAAGAAAGGTTAGAGGTGTCAGTTGTTTTTTCAAACAACTTTGACATAGACACGCACAAAAATTTTTTTTGACATGAGATAAAATAGACATTATTTAAAAAATATTTTAACAAATCATTTTAAAAAATAAATAGATGAATAACATTCAAAACATTAAGTAGATATTGGTGAAAAAATTTATTACACAAGGCAAATTAATCTCATCTTTGCCAATTTTCGCGGCATTGAAGAGAATCACCATATACTATAGTTTCCAATATATATAAGAGATCTGCAGAGGACAAAATTTTGAACCCACCTGAGGATTTATTATTTTAATCTTTAACGGGTTGGATTTCTTTAAACCAAGCCTTTCTTGGCCTATCACAGGCCGGGCTTGTAGGTCTCTGATTTAAAGTGTTCAATAAACTTTGATGAGGAT